TCAAACTTTAACCATTGAAGGTCGGCCATAATATATTTCTACTAAAATGAGATACCTGCCGCTGTGACTTGTCTTACATTGTTATAATAAAAAAAAATAATTTCCATTTTCCATTTTCCACCAGTCACCACATATTTTATATCATGTCTATTTTCCTCCAAATATTTAAACCTTAAATTATATGAACACGTATTATACATTATTTGATTGAATACTAAAGTAACAAAAAGTTTAATTTAATAGTTGTTTAATGAATATGAAATTATATAACACAAATTATTTTATTATTATTTGTATAATAAATCAGTATATCCTATAACACTAATACTATTAATAATATATAAGTAATTAAAAAATTGACTTTAATTTGTATATTATATTTTAATTTTAAGTGAAACTAGTTTAAAAAATCATTATAAAAATTAACACTTATCTTATAGTAGCAATAATTTTAAATTTTAGCTTCTTTCATACTTGATGTTTACCTGTATACTGTATACTCGTAGTATATATGTTACAGTTAAAGTGTTGAATCAGTTAGTTTATGAAATAACTAGGTAATTTATAAAATAACTAAAGCTTATATAGTTAATGTATATAATTTATACTATAACTAGTTATTTTATACACTCCCTGGCATCACTTCGTTAATGTGTCAAATTGTAAATAACAAAATATCATGATAAACAAATATAGTTCTAAAATTTTCAACAATTTAATATAACATATTAAATCGGATAAGATTGACATCCTTTTATTTTTTATTTATTTGATACCTACCTACACATGATAATTACAGGAGTGTTATTACAACTATACTCTCGATCCTAGTTCACAGTATGTTCAGAAAATTTGTTAGCTGTAGAAGCTGTTCCAAATAAAAGTATTACATTAAGATCTGCGGCAACTGCGCAGTCACTGGGAACTGATTAGGGTTTTTTTAAGTGCACTTGTACTAAAAAATGTGGCACAAATCAATGTGATTGTAGAAAAAAGAGGTAATATGCAACTCTAAATGCCATAATAGCTTTACATGAACAAATAAATAAATAATATAACTATAATTAATTCAGTAAAATAAAATATTTTAATACACATTTTAAATTTTAATGTATTTTATACTTTAACGGATATCAAACTGAAATTGTATTGAACAACTAGATGTTCTATGAAATAACTAGTTAAAGTACAATTTTCATGTATTATTTCATACTTTAACTAACATTCGTAGGTAATTCATGAACTACCTAGTTATTTCATAAAATAACGGAATTCAACACTTTAGCTGTAACATATATATTGATATTTGATACAGATATTCAATATTTCAGATTCAATATCTAGAGCCAAAAAATGGTATGTGCCTAATGTCTATTTAAATCAATAGTGGGTGGCACTTTAATTTTGGTAATGGAGGAAAAGGGGCGGTGTAAGAATACAGTCACATTTTCGGAGGGGAGCTATCCTTTTATCCTTATTGCTACCTAAAAGACATTTTGAATTATATTTTACATACAATTTGTACGTTTTATTTGGCATTGGTTTTAATAATTTTGGTAACATAATGATTTTATTGCGTTTATAGTAAAGAAGTTTTATTTTATAGCAAATATACATAAAATATAAAAATAAAATCATTTATACCCTCTCAAAGTTTCATTTAAAGACTATTAAATAATAATTTTATCAACCAGATGAACTTTTTAGATTTTTTAAGAGCGAGAATGAGTTTAATTTTAATGTGAACTTTTCGAACTCTGCACACATTATTTATATATTTAAAATGTAAATGCAATATTCGTTTCAAATAACGGTTGTGGTGATGGCGTGTGAATAGCATTGTCTGTTCCTTACCATAACCTAGCCGTGAATATTACATAAGTGACTGAAGAGATACCAAGACCCGTTTGGGTGAATCAAAAAAAGTATAACCAATTTAGATATATTTTAAGAGGCTCGTTTAGACAAATAATAATACATTTCACTCGTCGCGATTAAATTCGTGTGCATAAAAATATTAATATTTTTAACTATCAGTGGATAATATTTTATTTCTTGAATGTAAATACTATTTTGGACATTATGATTTATGAGTTATGATCCCATATCATAATACTATATCTGTTATTCATAACACGACTTGGCCTGCGTGAAAAAATATCAAATATATATAGAGCCATATAGGTGTATCTTGGTCTTAGCTGTGTTCCTCAGTTCATGTGCATGTCGGCGTCAGTGTATACCTATAATGCTCTATGAATTAATTTGACCTAGTTTTACAATTAATCGCCTGTAGCGGATTGCATATAGGACTTGGTACATTTTAAAACGTGGTTCAAACTAATAACTCGTTACACTTACCTGATATCTCTAAAAGAAAAATTTGAAATTTTCATCAAAATAGGTCGGCAGTTTTTGAGAAGGTACATAAGTCTTATTAAGATACATACATTCAATAACTCTCATTTTTGTTTTAAGATATAATTCGATTATTCGAGCCCATAAATGAGACAATTTGATGCATGCTTTTATATAATATGCCAATGGCAACCATTAAAACAAATTCGATTTTTATCGTGAATCTTGAAATCCTTATAGAGCACCTGTAGAAAATGAAAATTTTGGAAAATCCTTTCTTAGTGCACGTGGTGGTATGGAGGTACCTTAAAAATGTCGCCTCTGTAGCTATCACATAGTTATAGGTTCTACGTTAATATGTCTGAATATGTCAGAACAATTATAATATATTAACTATATAATGTGATAAATACAAAAAAATAATGTAATTTATTTCTAAATAATGGTTGTAGACGGGTATAATAACTGCAGGTTATTCCGAAATTATAAATAATACATAGGTAACTTATTGTGCATCCTACCTTGACTCGTAGGTACCTAATCCTCGGGAAATGGATGGCACGTGTCATCGAGTGGGAAATGATGAAGTATAATTTTTCCTTACACAACACTTTTTAAAATATTATATCATCTATATATTATTTATAAACACATAATTTGCATTTCAGACATTTGCACGAAAATTGTTGATAAAGGTTAAGATTCACGTCCAGATCTCAAATAGCATTGAATAACATATTACTCCTATTTCTATAGACGTACATCGACTACAAAAATTATTTTAAAAAAGAGAGAATATGGTACAAAAATGACAGTTAACCAGTTGTCAACTAAGTGGTACAACCAATCACAACTCTTGAATATTTATCAAGAAGTCACGTTTTACCATTGGCGGAAATTCATTGAAAATATTGGCAAGGGGGGAGGCTATTATTTTTCAAATGAACGTAAATCGTGAGTGACTTTGCCCCTTCACAATAACTATTGGACTTTTGGGCTTGAAGGACTTTAGGAGGGCTAAGTACCCCCAATTTTCACCCGTTTATGAGTTTCGTGGTTAACTATGTGATGGTGACTATCATTTGAAGAGAGGTTCACAATCTCCGAGCGTTTTGCCGTGTTGTGTGGTTAATATGTGGTATAAATTATGCTGGCATATTATAGAGTTTTATACAATTCCGCATCTATGAGCTTATAATATCAATGGTGAAAACTTTCCGAACGAGTTTCTTTTCAAATTCCAGTGAGATCTATAACACCACAATTTTCAACGCCAGCAACCTCGGTAAAGGTTTGATCAAAGTGACCACCATTTATTGTATTTATTTCATTACTTGTGTGTATACTACAACTGTATACTGTATAATACTATAATATATTGGGTTGTGAAATCCAAGCAAAGTCAAGGATCACGATTTATAAATATTAGTATCGTTTTATGGTTCATATAATCATATTGGATGCATTTATTATTGTGTTTACCACCTAATATTATAATATAATGTAAAAGGTTAGCTATTATTTTTAAATATGGTTTTTTTTTTAACTGGTCCTAACCTACATTACCGCTCTTGGCTGATAATACTCAGAAAAATAGGTGACTCGACATCGGACCGTTAATGCTAAAAACATGTTCTTTGATTCGTGGACTCATCGTTCTTTAATCGGAATTCATGGGCACATCCAAATTATGGTACTTCATTATTTTAATATTTTACATCACGCACTGTAAGTTTTCAAAAACTGATCGAACTAGCTGAATGAATATACGCTACGAAGTCTACTTTTTTTTGGTGCGAAAGTATATTTATATACCATGGTCCTTGACAGCACAGTCATCGCATACCAATGTAATAATGTATAAATATCAGACGTCACATCGACCGTATTCGCTTGGGAGCGACGAAGAGCAGAATTATTTTTTCTTTGCTACTTGTATTCTTATATTATAGAAGCGTATATGTATAACTTGGTTTTGTATTAGTCTTGTAATAAATCGATTCGTTTCGATAATAGTAATATGTTAATATTAAATTACGATGTGGACTGCACCGCTCGACATCAAGTATCTACAATTTATTCATCTACGTAGCTTAAAAATAACAGCTTTGCACATGAGTGTGACGTAAATGTGATTTTGGAGAAAAATAATTGTGTTTAGTCATACGTCAGATTGCATACATCGATGTGGGTACTTATTACTTCTGCTTACCTAAGAATCCGTCGAACCAATAATTTCGATATTTTCGTCGCGTCGGGTATATCAATCAAATCTAAAATCTCGGGTTTATTATGAATCGCAAACAATACTGCATTCAGACTTCAACACTTCATACATTACGAAATTAATGATAAATATATGTACAGGAATACCTGTAGAGCGGTCGTTGGAATTTCCGTAACTTAAGCATTATTATTTATTATACATTTATAATACCTGCATAAGTATATGTTATCAATCCTTTTCGAAATATCAAGTAGTATAATATCAATATAATAATGTGTTCAATGTCGACAATGTTGTCAAACAAAAGCCACGTGCGCAGACGGCACGCGTGCTGTAATCGTCGCACACAATACGGGTCTTACGTGTAATATCGTAAAATAAAAAATACCGAGTGCAACTGGACGGTCTCTGTGCAAAAGGGCACAAGTCAATTTTAGCCATTTTCGGGTTATGTATGAATTTTATAGGAAATTTTGTGCTGCGTTTAGTGGTACCACTGTTTTTAACACATCTCCAATAATTATCAAGTTATTTGATAGTGCGATAAGTCATTAGTCATGATTATATAATTTTCTTGGTGTAAAAGGGCTTATGTCAATATCACGTTATGTGTAAAAGGACAATATTCGAAATTGTGTATGCGGCTTTGTGCAAAAGGACACAAGTCATTATTTGAAGAATTATTATATTATTATTCTGTTATTTTGATGTCTGGTTTGTGTATAGGAAAGTTACTTTGTCCATAACAGTTTGATCTCTTTGCTATAAATCTAAAATATTATCTAATAAAAATCTCTTAGATCTAAATACATATAATTACATTTTTGTGTAGCATTGCTGAACATTTTAATAAATATGTCGAGAAGAACCAATAAGATATTAGGACTAGTAAGTGGTGAGTATTACCTGAGCAACACTTGGCCCTACGTTACATGTCTACAGTATAATATTATGACTCATTTTAAAAATATGATGTTTTAATTTTATAACAGATTCTAATGGTTGTAATATTAATTATAAAGTTCCTAAAGCACACGTGCGTAGAAATTTAATCAGAGAGCTAAACTCAACAAAACACACTTCATTTTACAATTGTAAAAAAAATGTATCAGTAAGTTAACCTATAACATTAAATCAGCTTAAGACTTAAGAAAACCCTACACAAGCATACAACATAGTAAACTTGTGTTCAGTACTTCAGTAGAACCAATTTTGTGTTTTAAGCCGAGTGAATTTATCTATATTATTCAAACTTACAGCTATGAACATCATAGAACCTTTTTTTATCAGATAACCATTTTACTTGGCTTATTATCCAAGTATCTAGTTAGTTTTAATAATCCTTATCCTTTATACTTATCTGTTTTAATGTAGGAATGGATTAATAATAACGACAGTGCGAAATATAAAAAGCAAGACTGTAATTTTGTAGATTTGGAAACTATTAATTCACCTGAACATATTTTATCTTTAGTCAAAGTAAGTTTTATGTTCTCAATTAAAATTATTTTGAATAAGTATTTGAAGAAATTAACTTTTTAACACATTCTCTCTTAATTACTAAAAAAATAAAAAATATTATTCACCTTTCTCATGTTTTTATACTTTTCTTTTACATTGTACCTATTCTTCAAATATTTTTTAACAGTGTTGATTCTTATAATATATAGAATATCTGATGGCTTAATCTGCTACTTTTATATTTTAAACTTAAATAATAATATAAATTATTGACATAATGATTGAGCTATTTATAATTAAAAGTTTATAATATTATATATTAAGATAAATTAGTAAAAATAGTAAACATTATAATATTAGAAATAGCCAAATAACTTAGAAAGAAGAAATTTTTTTTTAAACTCATAAATTATTAGTGAATTATTTTATTTTGGATTAAAAAAAAAAAAGTCTAGTCATTTATTTATTTTTCATTAAAAATAGGATGATGCTAATAAGGTTATTGAGAATGCTAAAAGTTTAAATGAAGACATACCTATGCAGGAAGATGATATAGGAATAGGATATTGTGATGTTATGGTAAGCATTTTCTACCATGGTAAAATCATATTATGTGAATTATGATAACTACTAATTAGTAGCTACACATTACACAATTTCTATTATTTATTTGTATAGAATATAGACAACTTTGAATATATATTTTTAAACGAACCTGAACAAGCTACAGTCAATATTCAAAACAAAATAATATCAAATACAATTTTTGAATCTGAGGTAGGTTAGAATTAGATCCATTATCTATTATTTTATAAATTAAAAATTAAAATAAATATTCAATTTATTGAATAGACTATAGAAGAAGTTGAACATTTTCAAAATGAATGTGTAGAAACAGTTGAGTGTGTTGGAGTTTTTGAACATTTGGTAACTAATAATATTATAGATTTAGCATTAAAGAGTTAGTAAATATTATTTTTACTTAAAAATGTTTTTTACTATTGTTAAAATAGCAAAATTATAATGAACAGGAAAAAGCAAATGACATAATAAATTATGTGCCTGAAATCTGTATGTCTATGGTTGAAGAAAATGTTCATACACGAAATGAAAAAAAAAGAGAGTAAGTAAGAAAAATGACACAAGACAACGTAGAAATGACATAACACTAAAAAGAAATTCTGGTGATGAGTATAAGACAAGGACGGGAAAAACGATGGATAAGCGAGTTTGTGTACCCTTGGTTAAATGTAGAGCAAATTGTCTAGAAAAAGTTGATAGCGAGTTACAACAAAAAATATTTACCAATTATTGGTCTTTTAAAAGGTATGATAGGCGAATCACATTTATTTCTGGTTTAATAACAAGTAGCGATAAAATTACACAGAGAAAAAGAAGAGATACCCCGGAAAAACAAAAAAATCGAGATAAAACATATCATTACTCTATTCCCAAAGACGGTAAAAATGTTTTAGTGTGTAGGGGGTGCTTTTTAAAAATATTCGGGGAAACTGACAAATTTATTAGAAATATCTGTCTTAAAAAGATTAATTCTCCCGTCAATACCTGTTCACCAGATAAAAGAGGAAAGGCTGTACCGCGAAATAAATTTTCACCTGAAGTTATAAAAAATATAACTAATCACATTGACAACCTTCCAGCATATCAAAGTCATTATTGTCGTCGTGAAACAAGTAAAAAATATTTGCCTTCCCATTTTACATTACAACATATTTACGACGAATACTCTAAAACTGTAGACAAACCTGTAAGTCGTACAATATACCAAAAATATTTCAATTATCTGGTCTTAAAATTAAAAGTCCAAAAAAAGATACGTGCTCTACTTGTGATAAATTAAAAATTCAACTGACTAACACAAATTGTTCTAACGAACAAAATATAATTCTGAAAAATCAACAAATTCAACACCATAACGATGCTGAAGAAGCGTATAGTATAAAAAAGCAAGACATTGCTACATCTACTGATAATCATTGTGTACTCGCATTTGACTTACAGCAGTGCTTACCAACTCCTAGTTTGGAATCTTCTGTTGCCTTCTATAAAAGGCAACTGTGGACTTTTAATTTTACCATACATGATACCGGGTCATCTATTGCTTCAAATTATATTTGGAATGAAACATTGGCGAAAAGGGGGGCCAATGAAATCGGTTCATCTCTTTATCACTATTTCAATAATTTGCCATCTAACGTTTCCCATGTGACTATGTATAGCGACTGTTGTCCAGGACAAAATAAAAATGGAATAATTATGGCCATGTGCCTTTATTTTTTGGAAAGACAAGAAAATGTAAAGATCATTGACCATAAATTTATGGTTCCAGGTCATTCCCGAATGGAATGCGATTCGGACCATGCGAAAATTGAAAAGGCAAAAAAACGTTACCCCTTCTCCATAAATCATCCACATGATTGGTTTAAACTTATCCAATGGGCTGGAAAAGATAAATTTATTAACACTGAAATGAAACAAGATCAATTTTTTGATTTTGGTAATTTATTGAAAACAAAATATCAAATGAAGAAAAAAAATGAAAATGGAGACATTTTTCTATTTCGTAATGTTAAATGGTTCAGGTACGAAAAAGAAAAAAAGACAATAGTGCAATATAAAGGTACATTAAACGCAGAAGATAAATTTGAAGAAATAAATATGATTCGCAGAAAAGTAAAAAGTGATGTATTACTAAAGGCCTACAACGAAATCTTACCGATAGCCGACGAAAAAAAAAAGGACCTTCTTTCCCTTTTACAATTCATACCAGAAGTTTATCACCATTATTATTATAATTTAAAATCAAACACAGATAATGTTAATGATGCAATAGTTTCATCCGAAGATGATAATGATTCCTAACTCCTAAGTGGGAAATATCTACAGTTTTATTAATTATATTTTATTAAGTTAATGATTTGTGCAAAGAAGCGTATTTGTTATTTTAGTTTTTAAGTTATATCTTAAAACAAAATAGTTTTTATATTTTTATTATTTTGTAAGACGTAAATTGTATGTTAATCTGTTATTCTTTAATCTGTTATTTTAAATAAAAAATATGAATTGTGATAATTCTATAGAATCTATAGGTGGTACCTATAGATTAAACTTACTGTTTTTAATAAAATATAATTAAAAAAACATGCTACTTTTTAAATACCTACCCAATTGTTTTCGATACAATTTTTGTAAATTTATATTCAACTTGATAAGTATAAAAGGTATTAAAATATCGTAATTGATTTTATTATTTTGGGAAAAAAGGATTTATAATATTAATAATCATTTTCTTATTGTGCAATAGGGCACAAGTCAGTGAAATTCATTATTATTATATTGTAGTTGGGCACAAGTCAACAAAAATACGATTATTCCATTATTTAGTCATGAAGTGTATGATCATTAATTTATTAATGGTCTAAATAAACTATTTCAAACATTAAACGTATTAGATCATCCAATTAAATTATAAAATAATGTTTTTTGTGTCTCCTGAAAAGTAGTGTTTTTTGACTTGTGCCCTTTTGCACAGAGACCGTCCAACTATATTAATAATATTATTTACCTATACAGTCTATATACACAACGGTGGTTTGATTGTTCACCACAAAGACGATTATTTCCACGACTATCAAAGCAATTTGAAGTGCAGCCATTTTCAGTGTTTATATCACATGCATGGGGAAATATTATTTTCGATTTTTTTTTTTTAAATCATGCCGGTTTATGTATATCACAATAAGTAGGGAGCTGAAAAAACGTTTCTTTAAATTTGTTGATCATTCAAAATAAGTGTACTAGACAATTGTTGATTATTTTTAATTATAATATCATACATAACATATTAACAACATATAATCAATATAATATGCACATTATACGTACATACGCTTGAAAATATTGTAAACAAATGTATCGATTGTTAAAAAAAACGCTGGCCGATGCTCGGTAACATTTAGTCAATATTCAGTATTATTATTTCGCATCGATCTGGTTCTGGACACCGTATATATAATATAGAACCCGGGGATGGGGTTTTTACCTTAAAGTGTGCTCCAGACATGGAACAGACGAGTTAATCATGAATTATTCATCAACGCCCCGATGTATATTTGGGATGTGAATAATCATTATCGTTTATTCCAAGTCTGGGGCACACGCATACGCGGCAGTGATAGAAAAATTACGCGAATTTTGATGACACGGCCGTTTAAATTTTAGTCACGGTTCATACCAGGTTTATATCAGTCCATAGACGTCCTCATATACTACTGTAGACTTAGATCATATATACACTGGATAGAGCTATAGCGTATATAACGCGTAGTCCGTGTTTGAAGCAGACCTGTTCATGCCCGAAGTACTTATCGCGCATGCGTGAGAAATGAAATAGATCGCGCGGGACGGGGAAGGAACAATAATGTGTTATAGTGATTAGGACGATTAGGTACTGAATGTCTGAATCATGAACTAAGATATCTTAGATTATCTTAGTTCATGGTCTGAATACTGATATTTCTTAACAAATTTTGAAATTAAAAAAAATGAAATGTTACACAAACTTACTTTTATGTTTTATATACCTAGATATTATTTGATTATTACAATGTAAAATGTTAAATTATACTTAAATAGTTAATTACAATTGTATCATTTTTCCCATTTTATTAATTTTCACAGTCTTAGTAAAGGAACTCAATGTAAACAATCAAATTCTCAATGGAAAATAGAAATTAAAAAACGTATAATGATTATTATCAGTTAGTGCTTCACGACGGTTATATCTTATAATATTATTTTGTGTTTTGTGTATATTCATCAGTAATCTCTTATCATAAAACAGTTTTGCTCATGCGCAGTGATGACTTCGGGCACGAACAGCTATGCTTCAAGATTTTAAACCATCCAGGTTAGGTTATATCCAGGCTCTATCCAGTGTATATGATCTAATTCTGTAGATAACAAATTACGTGTAACATCGACTCGCAGTGATGTAGCCTATCTTTACGAAAAAATACAATAATCTATACATCTATATTTTATCTCACCCCGCTACCCAGCACTACCGTTCGTACGAGTAATCGAGTGATCAAAAATCGAGTTGTTACGATTTCCATATACTACAAACGTCGCTCGTCTATAGTACAAGGTCTATAATATAGTTATACGAATATCGTTTGTGATAAGGTACAAGTTTTAGTGGGCGTGTTAAATACTTATCGCGAGTACCCTGCAGACGATTATACAACTGTCGTAGGTTCAGAGAGCACTACCCGTATATCATATTGTATTACTGTCATACGGGTAACTGTATGCCAGCTGTATATATTATTATAATGTACAATAATATAATATATGGTTTCGCCTCCATGATGAAAATTCAACCGTCCACTGCGAGTGGGCATGCGTTAATGTTATGCGCGTACAATATTATTATAATACATAAGTAATAACATGGATTGTTCAGTCGCCGTCGTCGTCGTCGTCGTCGTCCAATCGGGCGGGGGCCATCTCTGCTGGCGGCGCCCCGCGATATTATCGCGCGCACAGTCCGTTCTCACGACCGTCGCCGTTTATACAGGTATTGCCTCTGCCCATATATTATATTACAATAATACAACGATATAAACCTCTTGTTCCTATTATGTATTATATTATATTGTATGCGCGTCATTACTCATTTTGAATAAAAAAAAAAAAAAAAAAGTAGAAAAAAAACTGCGCGAACCACGGAGACGACGATATTATTCATATCGTGCGTGCGTGCGTGCGTACGGCACCGTCGGAGTTGTAGTCGCCTAGACTGTCGTGGCAGATAAACAGCGCTTTTTACAATATAGTATTATTATTATTATTATTATTATTATTATTGCACGGGGTAAAGTAAAATATAACAATAATAATAATAACGACGAAATAGTAGTAGGTAGGTATGGACGTGACGGGGAGGCGGCGTGACGGGCCGGTGGAAAGCGAACAGTCGCAGTATTTACATATACCTATATATATATATATACACACAATATACATACGTAATATATTACATGTGAGCGTACCTATATATATATATATATAACAACAATAGTGGAAAACAATGGCGACACACACACACACACACACACACGCTCAAGCCGCCGGGACCCTTCTGCTCGCCCCGTATAAACAACAATAACGAATATTATAATGCCGCGCGCGCATATATATATATTTATAAATGTGTGCATAAATACACGGCGGCGTGCGTATTGTATGTATAATCGTGTGCGGATATCATCTACGCGCGGGACTGCCGGCCATTCGTTGTCGTCACACATACATAATATATATATATATATATATTATATACAATATATGGCAGGAGGTCTCTTCTTTTTATTTTTTCATCTTTTTCTCCGGTCGCGCGTGTGTGCGCCGGTGTGTGTGTGTGTGTGTTCTCTCCCGCAAAAACCCACTCTCGCACACACACACACACACGACCGCGTGCGCGTATAGGAATTTCCCATTGTTGGAGGAGGTGTACGCGTATATATTATCCGGCTGTACCTACCGCCCCCCCCCCACCCCCAAAAGGGTACCCACATGATGTATTTGAACATCGAGAGTCGGAGGTCGTGAACGCGCCACCGACCGACCGTTGCCGCTGCAGCAGCAGCAGCAGTTGGTCCACATTTGCATAGAATGTATATGTAGGTACACCGCGGTGGTATAGGATGCGTGTGAGCGTGTGTGTGTTGTTTGCACGGGCGGAAAACGTGAGCCCGCGTCGTCGGCGTACGCACACACACGCACACACACACACACAATTATTATGGCCGGCCGAGGCTGTGCGCACGCGTACCTATTTATGTACGCGTACATATGCAGTGCGAGTGTGTATGAGTTAAGTTTTTCTCCGGGTCTTTGTGCGCCAGTAGATTTTCTCCTTTTTTTTTTTTACCCCGACGACGTTTTATTTCACTTGCGACGGCGAGTTTCTTCTCGTTTTTTTTTTTTTTTGTTTCCACTACAATATTATTATATTATTATTATTATGTACGCAGTCGGTAGGTTGGTGGGTACCGCAATTATTTGACCCCGTGGAAATCCTACACTGTCATGAATACGAATTTTTTTATTTTTTTCTGCTGGTTTCTCGTTCGCAGTGCGATGCGACGAGATACAGTTCTGCGTTTGTATTATACTCTATTTCCGCGTCTAAAAATATTGTCCGACGTACATTGTGGGAATGTATCATGCATAGGAGGTAGCTGTCCACAACTCATCATGACGTTCCATATATTATTATTATGAGTACCGCTATTCGATCGTATTATAGTTTCGCTTCAGTTCATATATACCTGCTATTATAGTGCTATGATGACTATATTATAGTCTATTCAAATATTCTATAATATGATATAATAATATCATTGAAACATATGATTATTTATTATCACACCCGTAAAAATGTACCTATAAAGATGATGATCATTTGGCAACGGACGTTTTTGCCAAAGAATAAATATAAAGAAACAATTTTTTAAATTATTAAAATGTCACCACAATGTTTTTTATTTAAGAGAAATGTACATGTTTTACAAAGTATATGTATAGACACAAGGGAAGTAAGGACAACATCGATTTATACAAGTTACGCTTATTAAGTATGTATTTATATATATATGTATATATATACTACTCTCGAACATCGTTACTAAAGACTAATAGTATTTTTTTCTCTCATTATTTTTTTTTCAAACCGTTATACTTTCAACAATATAAATATTTAATTAAAAAAAAAAAAACAACAACTTAAGTTACTTATATATGTTCTGAAAATATTGCACGTATACGAAACTGACTTTTCGCTGTTCTCATAATTTTTTTTTTTTTTTTTATAAACGCCGACGTTTATAACATAATAATATATTATTATTTCTATTTATTCGTAATCCCCCCCCCCCTATATTTATATATGTACACACGAGTTACGTATAATATACTATAATATTTCTGTATAATAATAATTACGATATACTATGATATAAAGGAAACGTTAGACGATAATATTATTTTATATATTATTGTTTACGATAGTAGTAGTTGCAGTGATGGTTCTCTACGACCCGCATTCCATCGGCGACGATGTGCTCAGATAGCTCCTGGGGCTCATCTGCATAGCGTGGTGTTGCTGCTGTTGTTGCTGTTGCTGCTGCTGCTGGTGGAACATAACCGCTTCGATGCCGGTCGAGCCCGTCGAGCTTTCCGAACAGCTTTTGTCTGGTTTTATCGACGGCGGCGCCAACGATCCCAGACTGCCGTCTTGTTTGGTCGACGTCCGCCTGTACTTGGCTCGAGCGTTTTGGAACCAAACCTGCAACAATACCGAATGGAAAATATAATAATAGAAAATAATAAATAAATAGGTATATCATAGTATGTGGCAAGCACTCGTATGATGAATGTACGGTGGTATTGCACGTACACGTCGTAACACTATTATTATTATTATTATTATTATTATTATTATTATTATATGGTGGTGAAAACTATAAAAGCGATTGCAAAAACCCTTAAACCCGCAGAGCATAATACAAATAATAATACATGACGTACACTGCGGGTCACGCGATCGCGTGCGCTCAACGACGATAAATAGTTTTGTCCACTTGTAAGAAAATTAATTGAATTTATTTTCCAAACCCCTAAACGACCGCTGCGACTAAAATCCAACAACGCGCTAGTAATTGCCGGCGATAAAACAATATCCTACACGGAATAAACCTATATAATACGATATATACGTATTATTATATTGTATTATGTACAATGCCGTTTTGACAAACACGCCGTAATAATAATTATGTATTTGTGTTACAATAACATGATATAATATACGATCGGAATACACCACGAAGTCGTTTCGTTTTATGGTGTGACACATGTGCAGACTGTAGCACACCGCAAGTGGCCTTGTGAACAAAATCACCATGATCTCATCAACGTCAATACCGTGCCAGTTGTTTTATTTATAATCGTAAAAAACAAAATCGTACGCACGAAATAAAGCGTATATTAATTATAAAGCATGTACCTAAACAGATTACAAAATACGAGCACCGGAAAAGTGTCGTTTCCTACTTTCCTTCGCATCACAAGCCACCGGATGCATCTCATCTGCTTGGGCGATCGACGCCGCGAATAAACCGTGTCGAAATCGACGGTTCTTTTTTTTTTTGTTTCTATATGATATTTCAAGTGCTCGCAGCTAGCGGGTATATACGAAAATAAACACACCGCGGGTGTAACTGCAGTAATGTCACAAATAAAGTGAAGACTGCCGCTTGTATATTATATATTCTAGTGGGATAACCGTCAAAAGTGCACGGGGTCGACGATAAATCATCGGCCGGTTTTCAGTCAAAAACGACAATTTGTTTTCGTAGCTCAGTTTTTTTTCGGTTCTACTTTAAAATAAACGCGGAGTATGAGAGCGAGCATAATACGATCTCGCGGAGTATATACATACACAACAACCTAAGCCTTTGTTTCGGAGGCGGCTGTGGCGGCGGTTTGTAGATTAATTGACGTTCATCGCGGTCGGTTACGCGGCGGTCCCATCAATCTTATCGGGTGCTTGGCTGGAAGCCAGAAAATCTCACTGGGAGGAGCAATAGTATATAGGTAGGTGCAGGCTGTAGCGGAATGAAAGCGGGGAAAAAACGCGTAATACGACAACGATGAGGACTTTACACAGAAAACCGATCGAAAGGAGAGAAAATGGCCGGAGTGGAGTGTGGAGGGAGTATGTAGGGTCGAAACACATAAGATAACCCGGCGAGAAGTATAATTAGTGTCTCGTCGACGGCGGACAGCTGGAATTATATATTTTTAAATTTCGGCTGTCACCCGAAAATAACGCTCGAGATATGGTGTATAGTAACTTATATGCATTATTGTACGGAAATCCGATGCTCGCTCTGAACAACACGGAAAAAAAAGACTGCGTATAGTCGAAAAATTGAAGAGGAAACTGCACGCAAACCGTGTAGGGGGGTAACGCATATATTTTGTTTGTTTGTTAATCGTGTAGCCGAAAGCGTTGTCCAAAGAATATATTTCTAATGAAGGAGAAAAAGAAACGAAGCGTGAAAGCAAAATATTGAAGATGTATTATGGTAATCGACTAATATTATATTATATTATATTATATAATAATATTATATTATATTATATGCCTATTCGGTAAGATGTAACTAAGCAAAACATTTAAAAACCATTTGTTACATAAATTATTATCCTATCTGATATACCTATATGTATTACCTAGCTATAGCGCATATATAGCTACCTATACACAAAATACAAAAACCGATATTGTGAAACATCATAAGCCCATGTAATCTGTATGGGTATTCTACGAGGTGGTTAGTATTATGTGTCGTGCTTGTTGATTTTTTGGCGAATTTGGCTCAGAATGGAGGAGATCAATCCTATAAATAATACACTATATTATATATATTTCCGGTTATACACCTATATCATATCAGTCTCTGGACACTTTTATATGATGACAGCAATTGGACGGCATTTTTTTGGAGTAAGCCAATATTGTTATACATTGTGTATAAATACGACGGTCATATAATAATACTAATTCCTCCGAAAAAATGGCGAACCCGTTTATTAGATTTCCCTGTCTTCCTATATCGTACAATTCCTTACCGGCGTCCATTCTTAAGTATTTATTCTACGATCATATTGTTAGACTCGTGTCAGTGTTATAACCATATATACCATCACCTTCGCACTATACTGCAGCAGGGCCGATCTTGTGCTGCACGGCTAGACCGGGAAGAAGAATAACATCGGACGGCGGTATATCTATTTCGGTTAACCGACTGCGCGCGTAATATATATTTACAGCTATTATTATTATTATTATTATTATCGCATAAAACATATTTACACAAGAGCAGATAGGGCGTGATAAAAACCGTCACGGCCGTCGGTCGCGTACGCGCTAATTAACGGAGCTTTATTTCAGCGGCGGCGGCCGCCACGCCGTTGCGGTAGTCACACGGAACACTCGGCTGCGACCCTTTTCGGCGGCGGCGGCGTCGCGAACGCGCGCGCGCGCGATAATAATAATATATTACGTACGTCGTGCGGCGCGCCGCCGCCATGCGCGTTTTTTCGTCGACCGTTTTAACGCGACACGCCTAATTGCCGGGGCCAAATATCATCTCTCAGCGGTCCCTTTGCAGCGTCTCCTATGGGCTCTGACGGCGGTCGAGCGCGGACGGAAATAGCGCACCTCCCGGGGATCTATGTGCCGTAACGCCGCCGCGGACGCGACCCGTCTGTCTATCTCCGCTGCAGTGCCATAGCGGCGTTTTCCGAGGAACATTCGGACTGCAACACTCGGCGAATTAGCGTGCGCGGGGCTCCGGTTACAAAAAAATGAACGGAGGACACCCTTAATATTTGAGGTTAAATCGTGAAGTGACAAGAATCTTGAATTCGATGTCTCCGATTCGATTGCGTATGTGGTCGACGAAATCTGCAGGGAGCAATCGGTAGATAAAAAATAATAAAATTGGAAGGGGGGCAGCAATTGTTTCCGATCTCAACTCCAGCCTGCACTATATAGGAATCGCAATTCGAAGGTAATCCATGACGCGCCCCTGTTACCGGCAGGGGCGGTCCTAGCCTGCGCGCATTTTCCAAAATTATTACTCGTTTGCGCACAGATTATTTCTCGTATACAACTCTCCCTGATTATACAATGCAATACAGTTGAACCATTCTTTGCATTGTTAAAATACCTTTACGGAAAGCTTCGACCCCGTTCTTTGTATATACTTGCAGGTTGTCCATCGTTCGGTTTTACACCCCACATGGATCGAACAACTATCGTGAGTAGTTAAAATGTATGAGATGCAAAAGCTTAATCAGAGAACTATACAGATGTACATTATTGTACAATCCACCAGGTAGAGCAATATAGCTATTAAATTTCCAAAATAGTTTATCTCTATTTCTTTATGAGGTAAATACATCTATTGAAAATCGAAAAAATATTCAAACCTACCAATCAGAGTTATTATTTTTATACCCAACAACAAGCCTGAACGCCATTTATATAAGTACAGAACACGCTTTTTGTTTTCAACTATATAATAGACACCTATAAATTATAATACATACTATGTATACCTATGGAAAACGACTGTAAATATGCCGCCATTTCTATTATGCGTGTGGCGTGTGCAGACACTGCGAAGAACATTGTTGACGAATGGCAAGCGACAATTTATCTGTTAAAAAATTTCCCACGACGAGTAAATAGATCGCCGCTTCTGTAGTACGCTAATTGTTACACAGCGTGTTTTTCTCGAGGGTAGAATTATAAAATACCGACAAAACTAATTACTAACAATTTCGTAATTGTTTTTAATTATTATACTCTGAACTTCGTGCAAACAACATGCCGACCGTTTTTATGCGGAATAAATGATAGAAAACAAAATCATAGATATTATAACCTAAATGCCCAGGATCCTGCCCTGTCCAGAAATTAACACATTGCACTACATTCGTAATCGACTGGTACCAAATTTATTATTTAATTTGGCAGTCAAAATAACCGGTTTAATCGATCAGATCGGGTACGTATACTAAGTACATGTGAGTGTAGACATGCGTATAGTGTAGGACTATAAATTTAATTATGCGTGTTAAAAATCGTTGTTTTAATTTAAATTGAAATATTTATCTAAAAGAACCACTAAAAAAGGTACTACGTATTTAAATTTCAAACATTACAAGCAAACTTGAAATTGTTAAGTTTTTAAATTTTTTGAATTTTTTTTCGGCTTTGCGCGTAATAATATAATTACATTACATTGCTTCGGTTGTAAAATAAATGTTTATAATCATTGAAAACTAAACACGAATTTTACACGAATTACATTCCGGAAAATCCGTACGAGTGGGAGATGAAGGCTTAGAATAATCGTAAACTCGTGGTATAATAAATTTTTATTCCGATTCATATCATCGTCTTTATACAGTGAATGTTATATTATTATTTATTACATTTACATAATATATACATTATACTTATACTTATACCTACCTAGATACGGCTATACATAAGTATATATTATATAAAGTCACCTGCAATCGCATACATATGCATTACGAACTGCAGTTTGCAGCGGCGGGGAGAGGAATACGAGAAAAACAATAAAAAATCGAATACAGATAAAGAAAAAGAGACGGAGAGAGAACAAAAGAAACAGAGAGAAAAACGTTCGTTCTCCTTTAGGAATGGTGACGGACGGCCATTACCGTTTGCGCGCGGTGTAAGACTCGGACCCGGCGCAGGTAATTGTGACAAATTACGAGAGCATGCGAAATCGGTTGGCCATCATCAAAGCGCCGCCGACCGCAGCAGCAGCAGCAGCAGCAAACATGCCGCCGCCGTCCGTGATGACGATGATGATGGTCTTCGCGAACGAAAGGAAAAAAAAACAACTCATATTGGCTGCACGTGAAGAGACGGCGAGCGTGTGTACGTATAACATAGAAGGGATGTGTGCAGGGAACGAAAAAAAGAAAGAAAAAACGATTCCCGACCGAGAAAAATAGCGTACGGACGACGAAGAGAAAAAAAAATAGCGAAATACACATAGTACAATATATACCTATATATATATATATATATATATATGTAAGCAGATATACGCGAACAGAATGTTAAACGGCCATCAAACGGGTTTGCACTATTAATATGTCGTCTCTTCGTTCTCCATATATTTATATATCATATATATATATACATCTCAGTCACACACACACGCGCGCTATATACGCACACACAGTTTACTGCTCTATGAGAATATAGTGGTGCCGGTATATATTACTATATATACGGAAGGATGGCCGCCGCCGCCGCCGCTGAATTGTTCATTGTTTTCGAACAACGTATATTGATAAATGGATATTTCGTATCTTCTTTTTTTATTATTATTATTATATTATTTTTTTGTTTCGTATGTATAATGTATTTTTATATTATGCTCGTGTGTGTCGCTTGTGCGTACACCTCTCTCGCTTCGTCCGCAGCGGCCATAGTCGCGTCCTACGCCCGCCGCACTGCCACCGCCCCGAGGACGAGATGGGTTTGTGGTATATATAATAAACAGCACGACGACGGCAGCACTGAAGAAAATGCGGCGAAGCACCTGCCATTTTCCATGTACGTTTATGTTATATTATACATATCGGCAAACCAGTTACGCGCATCGGGTATAATAATGTAATAATGTGTGTGGAGGGAAAGTTTTTTTATTTCATATTTTTCTCTCCCGTTTTGTACATGATATATTATGGATATATATATATATTATTATATTCGAGGGGAACAACGTTGTATATGCGATGCGAATTCGTCTGCGGCGCGACGCCGCCACCGCAGCGGGGCGGCAAAGAAGAAGCAAAGACGCAGTGCTTTGTCGGTCCGGGACAAAAAAAATATACCGTTTTATACGGTCGTACCAAAGTGTATAATATATATATATATATATACCTACTTCGTATATAAATGTATAGTATAAAACAATATGACGTATTCGCGTAATTCGACCGTAGACCGCTAAACGTATATGAACATTATATAGGTACTGCAGCATATTATATGATAGTGTAACTAAACGACTATAAGGACATAGCAGCATTGTATCAGAGTCACGTTTGCAAGGCTATTTTTTATCCGTCAATGACACGTCATGACTTCGTCAAAACATTGCAGTATCCGTATTGGATAAACAATATTTTTTTCGAGACTGAACTTTCATCGGTTGTAAATGCATACATTATATATAATATAAGAAGGCACGAGTGTCGCGGACCCCCAGGGAGCCGCCCAACACAGTTTAAGAACCACTGATATAGTACCTATGTACAAAAATCAGGAATATATATAACTTAATTTAAAATTTAAATCGACATAATTGTTTATTATAATGTATCGATACGTCGTATTAATGTGCCTATTATTATTTAATATACGAATATATAGGTTTACGAGTTCATGTATAGAATACGCTGCAATTGCGGCACGTGTATAACGGAAACGATTCGACTTTGCGGCGCTGGCGGAGATCAACACAATTATAATATTTTATATATTATTATTGAAATCGTGTAAAGCAAACGTATTGATTCGACGTGCCGGGGCTAAGGTGATATAATATTGTGTTGTCTACCGCATAATATATTATTATAATAATATTATGTTATAAATATAATAATATTATGCAGATACATATTGAAGTGCGTTTATAGGTATTTTTATACCTACATAATATATATCATATGATAGTTTTCGTTTTGATTTACGAACTGCCGAAAAATTGATGTGACCTGCTCGTTTAATAAGGTATACGCGGCCAGTAGATATAAGCTTTTGGGTCTTTGAAACGCAGCCGCCGACGAGTCTGCGCGTCGGTAAATCTGTCGTCGGCGCTAAAAACTCCCGTGAGAGACCGAACACCAATTATTATTATTCCCTCTGTACTCGAAGTATAGTTCTGTACAGCCGACGTCAAACGCGTTATTTGTCAAAGTTCGTGTAATTATTCATCTGGTCGGTGTTTTGAAAACCTATAGGCATTGAGCACGCACTATATACACACATTGCACCGCGTAGGTATATATATATCGAAATACTTGGCCGCGATATGTTAACGTTTTGTCGGATTCCGAATACGAATTTATTATTTAATATTATTATATATACGTGTCTGCGTGATGTATTGCACTTAAAAAACTATTTATACAACCGCATCGCAGCAAATAATATATCCCCTATTTTTCTATACGTATACCTATACCTATACAATTTTAAATTCACATTCAAATCGACATCATCATTATGATTATTTTTTGAAACGGAAAAAGTTCAAATTTTACATATAGGTAAAGCATTTTTTTCTTTTTATGCGTAATAAAAAAATATACATGTAAACGAGGATCACACATAAAGTCCATCGATAACTTCAACGCTTAATGAAAAAACTGTGTACACTGTATTCATTAAAATATTTGACCAGTAGTAGGGTAATGATACTGTATTTATACTTTATTCAAATATACATATATATACAGGTAACTATATATATAATATTAATATACATTATATATATATATATATATATGTATATTAGGTACCTATATTATATTATAGTAGTATAAAATGAAGATCTGTCGGAAACAAGAGAAATAAACATAAAGGTTTATGACGTGTTAACTCTGCAACGACGGTCGTATAATATTAGATACGTATATATTTATACCGTCCGCACATAATATGTATATTATGTAATCACGATAAGATTTTTACTATTGATTTTTTTGTTTTTTTTTTTTACCGGAATGTTTTTAGATGAGACAGGTACAGTAAATTAGACATTTATTACTGTATAAATGAGAGTCAGCTCTTTATAAGAATAAACCAAATGTTTTTCGAAAACTCACCACCACCGTTATATATGTATGTAGGTTTAAAGGAATTAAAATATATACCTATTTATTATACAGATATACCTAATATTATGTTGCCGCTGGGCCTGCAGAAAAGTTATATCATTTGAATGTTGGCCGCAAAAAGAGATATTATAACTTCACTGCGGACATGATATATTATTATATTCTTTTGAAAATGGTTTGTCATCTAGCACACAGTTAAGTGTATAATATAATATTAAACATACACACATATAGTATTATATATTTATTGTGTATATAATAGGTACGAATAACGTAGGTATACGAAATGACCACAATTGCAAATGGATTTAAACACGCGAATCCCATAAATCGTCAATACTGCGGCGGACCGTATATCGTATAATATGTATATAATATAATATATTATAGTGGTACACCATAACATAATACGCATATTATAATACGGTGGTCGCCGAAAGCGAAAACGACGTCCGAGCATAAATAACTCGTGTAAATAGGGAGGGTAAGAGAGGGGCCCGAAGCGTTACTATTTTGTTTTATGCGCGCGTGTGTGTGTGTTTTTTTTATTACTACTTTGTTTGTATTTTATTCATTCGGTGGTGGTATACGCACTGCCCAAGGACGATTTATATGCATTTAGAAGAAATATATACATGAATAAATTATAAATCACTTGTATCTTGACGCGTTTTTTATATTCTTCTCATTCCTAATAAGTTTTTTTTTATCGTTATTATTCGCCTGCCCCCGTCGAAAATCACGTGTGTCAGCAGTGGTATTTTCGTCTTACAACGGAAATGATCAAATCCTATTATAGAGCCGAGCTATTTCAGAACTATGGTCGACGGCGGCGATCATAACGTATTCACGTGCTAATAGGAATAGACAACCGCACAAACATTGTAAATGCATCACTACAACAATTTCCGAGAACGAAAACATTTTTCGGTGCGATTCTGATGCGATATAAAAACAAAGTTTGAGTAGTATTTATGCTGAAGACAATGTCAGATCCCGCTCACACTCTGTGAAAACCCACCATTTTCAATTAATTATCCTCAGTATACATTAAATATCCGAGTATAAAGAACATAATATAAGTACTATAATACTATATAGTAGCTATAGGGATGATCAACTGGCGGATCAAGATCACTATTTTTACGGACCCTCATCTGAAGAAGTTTTTAAATTTTTATAATATAAATATAAACATTATAAGCGTGTCCTATAAATTATTACGACAAAAAAATGATAAAACGATTTAAATAATTGATAAAATTAATACAAAAAAAAATGTATTAATTTAAGTGCGATAAAGTCATTAAAACCATTTGGGAAAGTTCAAAAATATTAGTTGGTGCCCTCTGCCGTATATGCTATATAATATGTAAATATGTAATATAATATAGATACTGAAGAGATCGAAATCTAAGTACACAACATATGCCTATATTATAGATACCAGCTAATATCTATCATATTATTTGATTATTTTCGAGAACGACATTTACCTGTAACACCCGTTTGGGGAGGCCGGTCTTTTGCGAGAGTTGTTTGAGATCCTTGGCGTCGGGGTTGTGGTTGTGATGGAAGTACGACTTCATGGTACGTAGTTGGTGGTGTTTGAATGACGTGCGCATGCGCTTCGTCCGCTGATGACCGGACCCGGGACCACCGTTACCGCCTCCGGATGACAAGCCACCAGGGCCGAACGCCATTTCCATGTTGTACGAATCGCTGGAGTTCATGTCTGAAACACAAAAAACCGTATAAGGGACTATTATTACCTTTGCCTCGTGATAAATATAATAATTGTTATATGAGTAAAGACCTGATTTAATGGATATTGCAACTTTTTTTGCAGTTAAGATAAACCAAATCTAGTTATGAGTTAAACGTGAGCCCGATTTAACGGATGAATTAGGGGGTGGTAAGTAAAGACTTATAACTTATAACTTATAACTTATAACTTATAAGTAGATCAAATACATCACCATAAAATCAAAGCAAATTTATTCTAACAGTGCTGCAGCAGTACGATAGCTTCATAAACGTTGCTGGCTGCTAAGCACCCCCACCCTTACCCTTACCCACACCAAATTTCGCCCGTTCTCGAGAAACCACTCTGGAATTGGAAATATATTACGTTCTATTCGACAGCAAAATATTTACGACGTTGTGATTTATTTGTATTATATAGGTACCTATACACTTTTTTTTTGTTATCAGAAGATCGTATCTAAACAACGTCCTTCACGTCCCAATGCGTTTTATTGCTTCTGCGTTTGTGCGGTTTGGTTGTGCTCGATGTTTTCAAAATTTATTTGTATACATAATGTAGTAGAAGATTGAATATTCTCGTCCTACTGACTGCTGCATACATAAATATTATAGTTAGTACACAATAGGTATACACAGTTTTTCGACGTTACGTTTTTTTAAGACATTTTTTACGATTGTAAGTTTCCTGAATATTTAATTTTAAACGACGTTCAAAGGCAATACTGCACTGCAGATCAAACAATGCGATACCTATCTACGAGATGCAATAATATGTGTTATTAAAATATGCAACGAAATTAAAATGTTTTTCAAGGAAAATGGAAATCTACAATTATAATATATGTAGGTACGAACGCTCGTGTATAATAAAAATGCCTAGCTCGACATTATTTTCTATAATTCTGTGCTGCATTAAATAAACGACTGCTATACGAATGCATTTATCGATTTTTAAAAGTCGTCGTCAGCAGTCGGCACAACGCGGTAGTACGGTACATATTATATTATATAGATATATAACAATATAATATACGCACTCGTTTATGCTCGCCGACAGTTGATTGTAGCAAGAGGGTGTGATTGACGTGTAATGGCTATATAATAATATAGGTGTATTTGTGTGTGTTTATATATATATATGTGTGTGTGTGTATGCGGGGACGTCAGAGCATACAGTTTTACCATAATATAATACTCACCGCAAGCTGTCCGTCACCTCCCTAACGAGACCAATTAAACTTTTTAAACTAAAATAGCTACCACGGAAGGCAGTAAGTACAGGCTGCCGGTAGGATTTAAGTATGTGCATACACGAAAGGGAACCGTATCGTATAGTTATACAGGAGTTATGTATACACGAATAATTATTCTATTTCCTCTAACCACCTATACCTAATAATATTACTATCGTATAATCCACCGAGTTCATAAATCGACACGTTCAAATAAAATTATACGCACACACACACACACACACACATATTATTATCTCAGTATCTATATAGGTGTATATTTTTTAATATAAAACATTCACCGACGCCGATTATACAAACACGAAAAATGTGCCGCTTTTTTTTTGTTCTCAGAACGATATAGGTAAAAGTACATAGTATATAATATTATTGTTAAATACATGTTTTATTCTTTCTTTACGTTATTATTATTATAACTACTATGCTTTTATTATTATTACTTATTTTGATATTATAACGCTTGCCACACCATAATAATAATAATAATAATAATAATATATAATAAGATGTTGTATAGTACAAGTGTACATAATATTATTATCACAACCGGAAAGGTTATCGAAATTTCTTATAATAACGTTCTCCGACGTGTTGGGTGTGCGTGTTCCTCCAATAATGGCAGTAATATTATAGTACATAATAATATATAAAGCTCGAGAGTTATCACTAAAATAATCGCACTCGTAACTAGTATAATATGTGTGTTTGTGTGTATATCTGTAGGTACATATATTACAATAAATGTTTAAACATTAATCGAAGCACCATAATAATAATATGATATTGAAGCACCGTGCCTGAAACAACGATTAGATAAACGTTTCGGAATGCCTTCTATAACGTCTGAAAACATGGTTATATGTACTTATGAAAATATGAAAAGCGGTAGCGCGGGTCAGGCCGGAGTCATCCATCGGGTGATAAAAATTGTTACTGCCGGCTGCTGGAGTTCATTCGGATAACCCCGATACGCGAGCATTATGTATAATATTATATTTAAATATTTATGAATGTATGCATTATACATAATATTATATCATATTATTATTTATCATCGAGAGCGGCAATATTTATGTTATATTATCGTATAGTGAAGCGACTGCAGATACCGAAAAACCCGAAAGATAATTATTAAAAAATAATCATAATATATATACTTTAGATAGATGGAGAAAAAAACGTGCACCTCAAAAGTAAATTAAAGTAAAACCTAAAAAGTGTACAATATATGTATTATGGTCTTATAACCTATATAGGTAGGTATATTGTATATATTATTTCCTGTATCTATATATGTACATTGGCAAACTTCAGAGAAGTATACAATAAGACGTTGCAGGTTTGTCATATATTAACAGTTTTACATTTTGCACAGACTACTATTCACAGGTTAACGCGTTTTCACTGAAACGTTTAAAAAAACACAAAAACTAGTTTATATAAATTAGCACTCAAAAAGAAAAAAAACAATTGAATTGTCATATTTGAACTACACAGACGTGTAAACACTCTAAACTATATATTTATCAGGTGTATATCATATAATTTATAAAGTTAGTATACTATACTTATACTAAGTACACTTGCTACTGTATAATTAACAACGAGGTTCCGAAATTTACCAAATTTATAATTTTACGCGACAGTATAAAAACAGTATTGTGACATTGCGCAGTGGTTAACTCAAGTTTTGTGCATAAATAACTGAAATAATATAGAGCAGCATGTACTTCGACGGGAAATTTCAACGATACATTAATTTCAGCAGCAATTATCTTCGATCTCTGAGCCGTGGTGCTATTCGGGTAATTTGTATGTAATATAGGATAAGCCACGTATTGAAAACTATACGGTGTCTTGCAACTTGCAAAACTTCAAAGTGTTTTCTACGAACGATACAAGGGTCAAGCCTATGTCTAGATTTTAAGATGATGATTAAAAAATGCCGATATTTGGGTGTACCAGAAGAGCCGAATGACATACGCAGACCCGTAAACAAGCGAAGACCGCATTCCCGGCGAAATCACAGCCGTTGAACATTACAGTGACTATAAGAGTACTGTGCACGTATTATCATTTGCATGCTTAAACAAGTAAAGGTAATAATAAAACAGTACGTAGACATACCATATCATACATAATATTATATACCTATACACGTATACTGTTCAGGACGACGGACATGACGAGACAATATTGTGTGCAGATCGGATACGGCTTATAAGACGTTATAATCGAATAATATATATGTATATATATAGATAAAATATTAAATGGGTTAATAAAACACGTTGATGGCAAACGAATACACGTGTCAAACTAGTCGACTGTTAAAGTCATTTGAGGCAAAATCGATTTTCTAAAGCCGAACCATATAATCGCGCGCCATTGTAATATATTATTATATTAACACGGCAATGTCAGTAATTTGCGCAGTTACACACGATCAACGATTAAACGGCCGAAGAGGATAAAATATAATATCATAATTGATTTTTCTACGGCGTGTGCTGCTGCTGCTGCAAAAAATAAAACAACTCGTAAACACAAATTGCCATAGATGAAAACTGCACGAAGTCTGCACGTGTCTCGCGCGACCGACCGATTTCTATCGCAATCGGTCTCATATACGAAAATAACGATTTCCCGCGCGATGTATACAGGTAGAGAATAAGTTTATGTACGATTATATTATTATATACGAGTACAATTATCATTATTATTATTATTATTATTATAGTCGTAAGCGAGGTAAAAAAATCAATTACGAGCGATCCGGACACCATGCGTAATATATAACCGCGTTCATGACGACGACGACGACGACGGAACGGAAACAACTCGAACCCGAGAACGGTATTACGATATTATTATTATTATTATTATTATTATTATTGTTTATTATACCAGACGTGGTAACCGTTATAATACACACGCACGCGCGTATTTCATATGTGTATACACAGAGTGTTTGTATGACGAACACACGCACGTCATTATACATTGTTATACTTAAATATAATACGTTGTATGTGCGCAGAGGGTATATTATTAATGGGCAACCGATTACCGCGCGCGCGAACGGAAGCGTCAACACCACAACGGGCGCCGCGGAGCAGTGTCGCTTCGAGACCAATCCACCGCAAGCGCGCGTGTACGTCGTGGTATTTCATATTATTATAACTAGCTGAATATTACCCGGCTTGTGCGGTTTTGTTATTCTTTCATATCTACAGTACATCCCCATAACTTCTCGGAACAATTCTTGTCTACACGGCGGACAGAATGGATAGACATATAGCGGGAGACATGAGCCCGTGCCGTGCAGCACGATACGCATTGGCGATAAATAATTATAATATTGTTAATCACTCCACTAAAACGCAACATTAGTGAAAATTCTTTCTCGTTGTGAAAATATGAGAAGAACCTCTGTTCCAAATTTCAAGTTCGTACGTTGCGCAGTTTTTGAGTTACAGTGATCAGTGACTATATAAGTGGTATTTGGATTTTATGTATATTGAATAGATTCTCGATCTCCTTCTTCTCGTCGATCTCTACAACATATGATCGCGACCACGTCCCGAGGCGATCCGTGTAAAATATTATATGCGTACCCCGTGATAGATGTGATGCGCGAACCGTGAAATGGTGTGACAGACGCTTATTGTAATATTTGCGCCACGTTTAAAAAATTATTCTGGTGAAAAACTTT